AACATTGTTCATATAATTGCCTTCATTACCTGGTACACTTTTTGATGTCTGACACTATTTTTAAATTGTAAAAATTAAATTTACATGTAAGCTAGAATTGGCCTAACCTTCACACAAGGTAACCCCCCTTCCTCCCTCCCATTTATCTATTGTTTTTTCTTTGATGTTCTGGTTATTCAAATCAAGTTCACATCTTGAAGGTCCTGAAGAAAAAATATATCTTATAACGTTTCAAAGACCCCAAAATGAAGGATAAGAGAAGAGAAAAATCAGACAAATAAATGGATGACAAAATTGGAATGGTTAAAGTTGTGCAGTGTGTTGTAGATGGTATTTTCATGACATTTCACATTTTTATGTTTAAGTTTGAACTTATTTTTTGAACATATGCTTGCTATACTTTTTCATTACTATAATTTTTATAAATCAAGTTCGTGCTAATGTGGAGTTGATTGATTTATCCTTCTACAAGTAGGATGCTAGCTGTTAGACAACTACTACCTTTTTTCCCATTAATAACGCAATTTTTATTTCTATGAAGAATGATGTTGTTTGTTGTAAGTAGTATATTCTTTCATCGTGCGTCTTTATAGCTATATATATTGAACATCGAGTTGAACACCAAGTGGTCCTCTTTACTTGAAGTTGATAGAAAGTAAGATGGTGTTTTGAATAACACTACAAGTAACTTTACTACTGGAAAGTTAGATGAACACAACTTTTGAATAACACTACAAGTAAGATGGCGTTTTTATTCTGTCATAAATAAATATTCTACCACATGATCGGATGAGTATCACTGAACAATTAAAAGGAATCAAACATATTTTGTGGATGCCATCTTGAAAATAATGTATATGTGTACTCAAGGAAAAACAATGTATGTCAGTGAGGTTTTTCAATAGAATATTACTTAAATTTGAGAAATACAATGAAACTTTTTTTTATGAATGTATCCTCATATAGACATGTTGTAGAAATCAACCCCACATTATACGATCTTTACAATAGAAAAATTGATTAAAATTCCCTTTGGTATAAAGTAGATCAAGAAAAGGAATGTGTAGTACAATTATTGATCTATGAAAAATGTTGAATCATTTGTACTTCTATCCCTATTTTGTCTTGGTCATATTCACTTACTTCCACGTCTTCGGTGTACTCCGCAACCTATCTTTTTTAGTAACTACTCAGTCCATGTTGTTGTTTTAGTTTAATCCCATCTATCCTTTCTTCTTTCATGCCCTCTTTCACTCTGCTTTGCCCGTCGCTTTCCATCCCCCTCTTCTATCTCATGATATTGTTGTATCTTCCTTGATGATATCAGTTTCTTCAGGATCATTCTACTTTAATGTGGCTGGATCAATCTCTTTTGTTCAGTAAGGTTGCTCATCGTTTTCAGTTCTTCATTACATTTTTAAAAAGCTTCCGATTCAAATGAATACTAAGTTGATAGTACCTAAGAGATTGTCCTGGTCTATTTACATTTTGAAGAAAAATCTCACAAAAAGCTTGAAGTTTTGTTACAATGATGTGAATCTTGAAGTTCTGTTACAACCAAATCATGTCATCTCTGCTTATTATTAGTTCCAAGAGTTGATTGTTTTGGGAGATGATTCAAAGCGCTAATGAACTTGAACGGTGGACTTAGGTAAGTAGGCATTTTTTTCCCGTGATATCTTTTTTTTCATATAGTATTTTCCCCAAACAATTGATTAATCTTTATATGTTAAGGCTTCTGCTTTGAGGTGATTTAATTTTCCTATGGGCTATGATATCACAACTTTCAGGTGATTGTTTAGAAAGAATTTGAGTTGCCAAATTCTTTGGTGCTTTCATGAAATTAGCAGTGATATCGACGGCTGAAAATTCAGGGTAAGCTTTCAATATTCATTGTTTTGTTGTTAAATTTGCTGCTATCAATGTGTTGAAGAAAATCTTAGGCTTCATTTGAGACGGTTGGAATTGTCTGAAACTGATGAAAATCCTCCACGAAAACCTCAGACTAGCATTGGAAGCAGTTGTCCAACAAAGGTTAGAATCGACAACCCAGAGGATTCCATGTCCACGTCACATAGTTCTGCTTTCTGGTGTTCTGATTTTTGCACATCCACAGATACTTGCACAAAGAGAAAGTTAATGGTCCAGAGGTAATGCAACGTTTTATGAACTTCCTGAGAGGTCACTAGATGAGCCAGTTAATGATGGAATGAAAAAGCATATATCAAAGGTATTATTCAAACTTTTGTTGCATCTTATGATTTTAGTATGCAATTATCTCCTATAATTCAGTCTTCTAAAAGGTTACTACGAGTTGAAGAGAGTTGCATTCACCTAGATTATGAACTGTCAATCATTGTGTTTTTTGCTGTGACCCTGTGGTTCCTGGAGTAGATTTGTCTGGATATCATTTATTTGTTGCAAGAAATCTATCCACTAGATTTCCAATGTACCACATTCCGTGCATCAATAAAATATATGATTTGTTTCTCCCTATTTGGGATATATATAGTATTCTTTTGGATCGTGCTTCAACAGAATCAATACAATAAACTAATAGTACTATGATGAATCAGAACATTCCTCCTCCAGTAGAGGATGATGAGATTGATCGAGTTTAGCTTTTTGTAGTCTTATCATATAAAGTACTTAAATGAGATTATAAAGCAAGAGTCAATGGTAGTGTCTCTGCTAATAGCCTAATAAGTACTCCACCTATTGAACTCAGAAGAATTTTTTTCCCTTCGTCATTCTTTTTATTTCCCATAGCATATTGGATTTGATCTCCTGTTAAGTCTTAGGGAAAAGTAAGTTCAAGTAAACAGTTTTTGTAGATAAGGTAAGAAATTGCAACCAACTGCTTCCTGAGATGCAACTAGAAGAGCAATGTACGGCGAGTAAAGAAAATAGAAAGAAAAAGGTCAAGGGCGACATTTTATTGTTATTAGCATTGGTAGCCAAATACATGTGAATATGAGAAGAAAATCAAATGATCTTTAGCGGCAATTAATTAACCGCAATAGCTTAATCACCACTAAATATATATTTTTAGCGGCACTTGGCACTTTTTGTAAATGTTCCTAAAGCCTATAGCAACATTAGATCCAATAATAATTAATTAATGTCGGTAAAAGCTTTAGCACTCCATGAATGTGTATATTTATTTGTTTTTGTTGTAGTGAATGTCTAATATGTGAGGATTATAATGAGATAAAAGCACATTTTTTATTTTCTCAGGTTGTCTAAAAGATAAAAGCACTTGCTGCTTTACAACTTTCAAGACGGAGGAGGAACAAAAAATAGTCTATGGTGAATTGCTCAAGATCCTAACTCTTCTCTTATTGCTGCTAATAGAGAAGGGATCAATTGGGATCTGAGATTTAGAAGGAATATGCACGATTGGGAAGTGTGATCTGGTAGACCTTTTTGCTAGACTATAACATTGTCACATTAATCTCCAGGCAGCCGATAAGCTCAAATGGGGACACCAGAAAGGAGTTTATACAGTCAAGGAAGGGTATCAACAGTTGTGCTCTAGAAACCCCGTGATAGCTAACTGGCCCTGGAAACTCATTTGGAGGACCAAGCTACCACCTAAGGTAGTTTTTTTTACCTGGATAGCTCTATATGAGGCATGTCTCACCTAAGACAACATAAAGAAAAGAAAAATCCAATTCCCAAACAGATGCTATATGTGCAAAAAAGAGGCTAAAACCCTCAGACACCTTCTTCTTGATTGTGAGGTGGCCTCAGAATTATGGAGCATGTTTTTTTGTCTCTCTGACATCAATTGGACCACACCCCGCACAGTTAAGGATGCATATGAGAGTTGGAGTCTACGGAAAGTTGACAAAGCCATCAAGAAGATCTAGATTATGATACCTGCTTGTATTTTTTGGAGTATTTGGTTGGAGAGGAACAAGAGATGTTTTGATGGAGAGTCAACTGCTTTAGGCATTTTGAAGACTAGGTGCACTGAAAATTTGTTTAGTTGGACCAACTTGTATCATGCTGTTAATGCAGAACAACTTCAGGATTTTACTAACTCATTAGCTCAGCTTATATTGTGCTGTTAAGGATGCATATGAGAATTGGAGTCTATGGAAAGTTGACAAAGCCATCAAGAAGATCTGGATTATGATACCTGCTTGTATTTTTTGGAGTATTGAGATAAAAGCACATTTTTTATTTTCTCAGGTTGTCTAAAAGCAAAAAGCACTTGCTGCTTTAAACTTTCAAGACCTTATCAAAAAAAAAAATAGTCTATGGTGAATGAAGTTAGTTAGCAAACACAAACCCCGTTCCTATTCTTCCTATTGATAAATGTCTATTATAGTGTACAACATCATAACAAAGCAGAATAAGAGAAATGTAGTATGTTGTTCATTTTATGCTATTCTTACATCTACAGATTGAAAAATAATTGTACTGCTTCTATCTCATTCTACTTTTCATTTCAAGGTACACTAATAATAT